TAGAAGATGGAAAGAATATTTGTGCCTACTTCAGCCCAGGATGTTATTTATTATGCTTGATTTGAAATCCAAGAAGTCTCTTGTTTATTGTATTTTATATTGAATCCAAGAAGTAATTACCTTTTAATGCATTTGAGTGTAAAGATCTTGCATTGGTAAGCAATGCTTGTGTTAATATAAATGCTGTATTACCTTTAATGTAGGATATTATGATTTAAAATTTTAGTTGCAAAATAATGATACTTAAGTATTTTTTTAAAGGAGAAAAATGTTCTGAAAATATTACTACTAAGGTACTAACAACGTAATCTCTCCAGTGCTATAGTGTAATTAGAAGACAGTTGCACCTGGAAGCCTCATTACTTGTGCCCCATGGTAGGAGCAGTGCAAGTATAATCAAAAAGGCAGTATGTGGTCCCAGTGAACTTATGAAATAGATAGAAAACAAGATGCTATTTGTGAACATAGGCAGAAATAGTTGTTTGATAAAGTACCTCCAAGTGTTCATACAAGTGGAAATTTCATTATAATTTATATCGGTGTCGTGGTTCCTGTTTCATTTATGTCTCTGTAGTTTAGCTGCTGTTAACTCCTATCAGCTGAGCTTCTGGAATTAAGGATTTGTGCTTCTGTACCACTACAGAACAGCAGCTGCCAGCTTTCAGATACTCTATCCTAGAATTAGCTGTTTTGTGATGGAATCTGCTGCAAAGGTTTTTGTATTTGGATAAGATAGCGATTTATTGAACGATGTGTTGGTTTGGGGGTTGGGTTGTTTTTCTGAATGGTACAATCGGTCAGGAATGTTTATGGTATGGTCAGTTGGGGATAACCCAGCAGAAAGCTGGAGTAGCATAATTTCACCACGTTACTGTGTTTCATGAAATACTGTCTGGGTAAGCTGGGTAAACATTGCCTTTCCTCTTTAAGGCCTCTCTTTTTCACCTTCCAGTACACTTAAAAGTAGTTTTCAGCTATGCTTTCCTGCATTAACTCCTGAAGAATGGCTATTTTCAAGGCAGCACATTTAGACAGCCCTGGTGTACCTGCTTAAGCTAGTTCTGTGATCATCACGTGTCCACCCTACTGTGATGCTTTTGGCATGGACACAGTGTACAGGTCAGACATGACCACTGCCCTGCTGTGTTCCACACTCTAAGGTGGGATTTCCGCTCCCAAGCAAAATGCTATACAAAGCAAAAACCACTTGGGGATTTGGGTCAAACTGAGTAATTCTCAGGCATAAGAGGAGGTGTAGCATTAAATCAAGCCAGCAGTTGGCAAACATGTGATGTGACCCCTTGGCAGTGTGTCACCATCTAGGCAGGACTGCTGTGACTGGTGCAAGGTGAACAGATGAGGACCAGAACATCACAAGGGTGAAGGCTACATTCCCAGACATTTTTAGGGCTTAAATTGCTGCTGTACATGGATCTCTTACAGAAGAGCTCTTTTCTGCCCAGAAAGGGTTGTGGCAGTCATAATTTTAAAGATTCCTGCATCCTTTTCCTAGTTGAGCATCCCTAGAGCATGTTTCCTTGATGCTTGCTTCCTTCCTTCCTTCCCCTGGCTGCTTATTGCCTATGCCATATAGTAGCATTGCAGTTGGCCTGAGGGTCAGCACCTCCTGGTACCAAATACTCTTGCTTCACTGTGGTGTTCCCCTCTGCCTGCCCTTCTGCTGATCCTCTGATCCTGTGGGAGAAAATATCAATACAGAAGTTGGGCCTCTCTGACCACAGAGGGCTGAATCTGTCTTGTAGCCCCATTTTAGTCAAGTTTTGCTTGATGCTTTTCTTAATTGCCATCATTTTGGGCTACCATAAACTTCTCTTCATATGGTTTTGTAATTTTTCCATGTGAAAGAAGGAAATGCTTCTCTGGAAGGCTGATTTAAAGCAAACAAACCAAAACAATAACAATGAAAAACTACAAACAACTAGAACAAAATAAAAAAAAAACAAAACCACAAAACACACACAAACCTCTACAATGAATCCCAAAGTAAAAAGATTGTGAACATTTGCTCAGTAAATGTCCTGGAGGTGTTCCTTACTTCCTGGGATTAGGTAGGTAAGATAGGGCAGGTGACAAATCTGATGATGTATCATATCTCTGCAGTGTGTCAATCACATGGATCTTATTTCCGTGCATGTGGTACATAGCATGCATACACTTTTGGCTTCTGTAAGCAGAGAAGTAAAGAGATCTGGTTAATTTAAGTTATTGTGGTTTTTTTTCTTTCTTCTTGTTAAACATTTTGCATCTTTTTATTAGAAAAATAAGTCAGCAACTTCTTTTTTTCTTCCTCTCATATTAAAAGCACTAAGAGGAAAGCATGGCTGTGTGTCCTACAGGAATTTCCTGACTTCTTGGCAGGATAGCTTTTGGGCTAGAGAAGCAAATCCTGCTACATGAGTGCAGAGAACTACAAGCACAAGTATGGTGTGTCGTATTTGGCTCTGGATCTTTGTTATGTTCCTTGCTAAATCTGTATGCAGTACTTAAGACTAGAAACACCATTTGTAAGCATTCTTTTTCCCCACCTTGGTGGGGGGGGGAACCCCAACAAAATCAATCAAATGAAAAACTTTTGATTAATTAATACGGTTAAAGGAATGTTCACGTTTTGTGTGTATATAGGCATTGAAGTACAGGGGAGCAAAAATAAAAAGACCCGCACTCATGCTGGAGATGCTGCAGATGCTGCAGATGGAGAAGGGTGTCCTGAGTGATCCCACCACACTGCATGTGGTGCCAAGGTGCTACCTGGGCCATATCCATCAGCTTCAGCATGGGCCAGTTGCCCAGGTGTGGATGGCCACTTTCTTTCAAGGGGGCTGTCTGAGGGGATCCAAGACATCTGTATGAGTCTGGCATCCTGACACTGACCTACAGTTGGTGCACCCTCTTCTTGGGCAGCAGCTGAAGGTTAAGTAAGGCACCTTGTGAGCATCCACAAAGACACTGAACACTTACATTTAGCTATTTGAATCCTGCTTGTCCAGATTTCTGCAGAGCAAGGGGTTCAGTGGGAGATTTAACAGAACATAATCTAGTCATGTAGTCACAGGTAGTGTTGTATTTCCCACCATGTTCCTCCAGTGATCCTCTTTCAGCTTGGAGAACTTCAAAATAGTATTTCTGTTTGTGAGGTTTAATTAACGATATTTATTCATGGAATTCTTAAATGCCTTTAGGGCTTCTGGTTCCAGAAACCAGTTTCCTTTTAGACTTTGTTGTGCATGTTCTCCACAGAGCATGTGCTAAAGGAGTAAGTAGCCCATGCTGTCTGCCAGCCTCTCTCTTGACCCTATATTTGCTCCTCACTACGCTCACTCCTTCAGTACTTACAGGACAGTCACATAAGGAACATGCAACCTACCTTTCTGCTTGTTGTCTCTTGTTTTGCTGATAGCCTGAGGTTAAACAGGGTCTGTGCTGGGACTGGCGCTGTGCAGGTATTGCTCAGGGTGTCCATACACCGGCATTGCACATTGTCTTATTGACATCTCGATGCAAGTTAACCTCAAAATGTCTCCCAGTGTGGCAGACAAATTCATCAATAGACACAAACCTTGCAAAAACCTTTACAACCCTGCATCGCCCTCTGGGCCTGCCCCAAAAGGAGGGAAGGACTTGATTGCTACAGCATCTTCATGTGGCTGGTCAGTTGTTCAGCAGGATGCATACTGATGAGTTTCGTTTGTTTGAAAACAAATAAACCACCAATGATTTTGTTATGGAGCTTCTCTTTGGTAGCTCTTGTGCATAAAAAGAGAACACAGTTTACTTTCCTTGTCTGCTTTTTGTGGTATGAAGGAGTTCTTGGTTCTTGGCATTTAAAGGATTTGTGGCTTAAGAAAATTACTTCTTCCTCTCCCTTTCTTTACCAGACTTGTCTAGGAGGATACACTCACTCAGAGGTAAACTACTCTTCAGAGCAAAATGGATGTTTTATTCCTGTAGCAAGGCATCTGTTTTACTATGGAGTTAACAATGAGTAATATACTGTGTGTGTGCTGCAACGCATCCTTCAGGTTCAAGTTCCTGCACCTCCTTTCCCTCAGGGAAGCCTTAACTACTCACCTACCTTGTTCCTGTGTAGAACAATAGTCACCGGGTTATAACTTTGTGCCTTCTAATAGCCTCATCATTTTAATTGCACAGTGGTGATGTGTGGTTTCAAATTAGTCATAGCTTTGGTGCTGGTTTTCAGCTGTGTTCCCAGAGGGGAAGGCTTTGCTTTCCCAAGAGTGGCATGCCTCTTCCCAGGAGAAATGAATTTCTGCTAATAAGGCACACAAAGGTGAGGTAGTAAGGGGACTGTTGGTTACAGGGAGAAGGGAAATAGCTGTGAGTCTCGGGTGCTGGAGAGCATTCTGATAATGCCAGAGCCTATGGTGTGCCAGGCATGTGCATGTATAAATAGTTGCATTGGCATGTAGTGTCATTGCAGTCATGCTTGCTTTGAGAACAGCTAAATGTAATAGCCTTGTCTCCCATGGCATGGAGGAACGTAGCTCAAACATACCCTCACATGACTTCAGACATATGAAATAATGACACTGGTGTTTAATGGCTGTAAAATCAGTTGGTTTGCCCCCCAAGAATTTATAACTACAGTGGATTTGTTATATCTGTCAGGTCATAGTGAAGATTGGTTGTTGGATAGAATCCTAGAATGGTTTGGCTTGGAAGGGACCTTAAAGATCATCCAGTTTTAAACCCCCTGCCATGGGAAGGGACACTTCACTTTGAGGGAGGTTCCTCAAAGCCCCCTCCAACCTGGCCTTGAACACTGCTGGGGATGGGGCAGCCACAGCTTCTCTGTGAAACCTGTGCCAGTGCCTCAGCACCCTCACAGTAAAGAACTGCTCCCTATATCTAGTCTGAATCTATCCTCTGTCAGTTTAAAGCTATTGCCCATTGTCCTATCACTATTTGCTGTTATAAAAAGTCTGCTATTTCTCTCATCATAGGTATATTTGAAAGGAGGATCTGTTTGACCTGCTGGCCAGGAAAAGGGTGTCTACACTGGGGGTGTACTCCAAGGCTAAATCTTAGAGTAAGGATGCAAGATCCTCTCCCAGCTGAGGTCTTTCTGGTGAGCTTTTCACAGCTGAATCACAGGGGTTTAGTGCAAACCCTGGTAAATAGGTGTTAATAGTTCAGGCCAGCTTGCAAACAAAATATCTTGACTTTCTCAGGAAAAGTAGCCTTCAACACATGCACCAAACCTTGTAACTCATGCAAGATAACTATAAAGAGCATTTTTGGAGTACTGTGGACTATCTTTAATAAAATAAAAAGATAGTCTTAAGGCTTCAGTCCACAGACAAATTTTGCCTTCCTCTTTGCTATGAATTAAAATATCAGGTTTGAAAAATATTAATATGCTTTACCATAGCTTATGTGTATAAGCAATAATTTTCTTTCAGAAGTGATTCTTCCGTATTCCCCAGACTCTCCAGAACCACAGAACTCTTTGTCCACGGCAAGTTTTGCACATTGAATATCTTTTATTAGAGTAACGCAGCTGCTTGAAAAAATATAGCTTTGAGGCTTAACAGGCTCTGAGGTACTTTCAAGTGTACTTCTAGTCTCTCATACAAGACACTATCTCTGCTTTCAACACTGTCTTGTCTATGCCCTTAGACCATGACAGCAACAAGTACTAGTGTGTTTCTGAACACTGCAGAATTCTTTTGACCACCTGAGGATGACTGAAGCTTCTATCAATCTAACCTTGGGTGATAACTGACTTGTCTGAAATACAAGTCTGTTGGCAGTGTGGAAAATGGTAATTGGCTTTGGTGTGTATGATTCACTGGATTTCTAGCAAAGATAAGCTCTAAAGATTGCTGTCTTTTGCCCATAAGCTCAGCTAAACTGGGTAACTTTCGTTCCTTTGATAGCCTTATTCTCTCTTCTGTGCAGAAGAAATTCTGGGTTTCAGCAATCAGTTAATAGCTGGCTCTTAGAGTTGCAGAAGTTGTGTTGTTTTTAGGCTAGATGACAACCATTCCCCTTCCTGTTTTTCTGCTAGATCAATAAAACAGACCTTATCAAGGGTCACTATCCTTACAGAGTATTTTCAAGGTAGGTAAAGCACTTGCCTGTATATAAAGTGCTGCAGGATTTGAAACTTGCCTATAAAGCAGAGTATGTCGTCAGTAGCAGCTACTTCCATTTCCACTGGCCATAGTGTCAGAGTTGCATCAGTAATGCAGAAAAGTTACTGGCAGTGACCAGTTAATCTGGGTACCTGCAGTGAGGCTTTCCTCTATAGGCTTCCAGTTGTGAAGGATGTGTGGTAAGTGGTGCCTTCTGCTCCTGCCTCATCGAGGCTATTCGTTTTGTTGAGTTGCCTTGATTGTGGTTTTGTTCTGAGAATCCTGTTAGCTCTGGACTGAGAAGTCGTGGTCCCCGCAGCATCATTGTGATTCTGCAAAATGGTAGAGATGGAGAAGATCCCTTGGTGGTTGGCAGGTCCCATCAACAATGTGGTAGACATTTACTGCGGATTTGCCTGTAGGATTTGAACATGCCCATACCTAATGCGTAGGTTTCAACTGGTATAGCTAAAGGTGTGATTATATAAAGTGAGTTGTTCTGAGATTGGATTGTACTAACATTTTTGGTGTGAAGTACATGCATTCAAGTGAACCTGGGATAAGCCTTAATTAAACAATACAAACCAGTTTCATCTCAGACCATTGTTTTCACATACAGTCTGAACTGACCAGGTTTCAAATTAATTTAAATCTGTGCATTCTGTTCATTTAGGCAGCACCTGCTTTGTGAGTGGGAAGTTTTTCTCCTGCCGAAGGCAGAAAATGTCCTTCGGACCACTTAGAGGTCTACTTAAAATAACTGTTGGAAAATTACCATGTGGGTTTAGATAGTGTTAAAGCAAGCCGTGGGCCATATTTGTCTTGCAGACATGAAGTTTTCTACCTTTGCTGCCCTTCCAGCATGACCTTGAGTCAGTGTTGGTTCCAGGTAGGCCAGGGACTCCTGTGACTTGGCTGTAATGGTAGAGCAGTCAAACCCAAGTGCTGCTTTTCTGAAAAGAGTTTTCTGTACCAGAAATTTGCCTCCCATGCTTAGAGTTGGCCAAGGGCTGATGCCAGTCTTGTGAAGTCATGGTGCAGCAGTGGGGTCCGTAATTGGGGTGAAAGTAACCAAAATCACACCTTAACATTTAGTACGCATAAAAGAAATGAGAAGTAGACAGTCCACAGATATGGATAATAAATCACTGATTTTCAGCCTGACTTTCTTATTGGTCAGCCTTATGAAAAGTTCCTCTGGCCAAATGTTGTTTGTGCCTCAGAAATGTCTGCTTGAGCAATGAGTAACGCTATTTACTTCAGAAATACTGTTTTCATTCAATGGCACCAAGCAAGCTTAGCAAGAGAACAAGGCCTGTTGAACAGGCAAGCTGCCTGATCAAGTTCACTGTTAATACATTCTTAAATGGTTAATTTAACTGTTGATAGATCCAGCTCATAAACTAGTCCAATGTATGGATGCAGCTACACAGATGCAACACAGGTGAGGTTTTACAGTAATGATGGGCCATCTGATGCACTCCTCAGGGAAAGAGAGACTGAAGAGTGAATTGCCATGTGTGAGAGACTGGGCATCTAATCCATCTGTACTCCTATAATGGTCTGTTATGAACCCGGTCAGCTTAAAAGACCCCAAAATACAACTGTTTGAACAGTTGATTGAAATGATTGATAAGCATGCTCTGTTGATGGCAGTTATTTCCTGTTCTTCCCCCCTGTTTTGAGCTGCATTATAGAGACTGCATAGGATCGATCCGTCTCAGGATGTTAACTATTAATTTTATATTTGGCTCTGTCTGTGCTTGGTCTTTCCCAGCCATCTCCCCAGATGCACCTCATGAGACTGGGGCTTCTAATTCTGTGGTTATGACCAAGACTATCGCGGTTGGTCGACTTTCCTCTCTGGGGACAAGGCCAAGCACCCACACTTCCTGTGTGGATGCTGAGACCAGGTGGCATGTCAAAAAATAGGTAGTTTGGTACAATAAAGGAAATCTGCAGCAAGAAGAAAATCAAGCTAAAATATGCAGTACTAAGTAACGGCAGTGCAAGCAGCAGAGAAGATTCATATCGTAAGTTAAAGAGCTCAAAATGAGCAAAACAAGAGAAATTTCCAGCACAAAGATTCAAGATGCTCCAGGGGGTGAGTCACGAAAGGGTCAGGTGATGACAGCCTCTGCACTTGAGAGACTGAGAAAGAAATGTTGCAGTAAGACTGCACAGCATCTCCTGACTTCTGCACTGCTTACTCAGCAGCAAAGATAGAGCTTCCATCAGCCCTTCTTTTCCTGAGATAAGTAAAAATCAGTTATTACAGAGAGATAGAATGCAATGAAATATTTAACTCCAGTAAGAAACGTTGATTTTTTTTTTTTAAGAACATAAAATATATTTTCTTTGAATATAAGCCCTCCTTCAGAAGCAGCATTTAAGATTTGTCTTGGGATTTTAGTCAGCGTTCTAAAATGCTGATTCTTTTGTCTCTATTTAGAAATCTCTGCTGTTTGGTTTGTAATCCAGTTTGTAAAACTAAAAGTTGTCCAAGATATTGTTTAACTGGCATCATACAAAAATACCTCAGGGTGAGTTATCTGTGTGATTTTATTTGCTGGTTCTCATTGGTGTATCCAGTAAGATCTTAAGTAAGAGCAGAACTTTGATTTGGGAAGTACTCGGGTATTATATAAGCAACTGGTTTTAGGCTGGAAATTACTTGCTACTTTCCCTTTGTTTTCAAAGGTAATTTTACTGCCAATGGTATGCCCTATTTGTGTCAAGTATCAGTAGAAACTCTAGTGCCTCTCCAGTATTTCACATGTTGAGTATGGCTGTAGTTGAAAGATGATTGAATTTCCCAGATTACGAGGGCTGCTGCTGCTTCTGAAATCTGTTTCTCCTAGCTCAAGTTCTCTGGAGCACTGGGCTTATTGGGACTTTACCTTGGAGTTCACCAGTACTTCCCTTCAAAGACTGGCTTATGTCTTTGTTGGCTTTCTGAAAATGCCATAGCAACAAAACCCACAATTATTTACACTACAAAATAATTTTGTGTAGTTTAAGCTATTATTCACCTTTACGTTTGGGAAGAGGAGCACAGGCAGGCTCATGCAGCAGACCAGCTTGACAGGCTGCCTGGAGAACATGGGAGCCAGAGCTGCAGGAGAGTTTTGAGTGGTCCCCAGGTTATCTGCAGAAGCTATGGCAACCATCAGGCCCGAGTAATAAATAATTGCTATTTACTGTTCCTTCAGTGTTTTGACCCACAGTTACCATTCTCTAGGCATTGCCCAGAAGCCCAAACTATCACTGTTTGTATAGAAAATACTGTTGGTATTTTCTAATGCAAGAAACCAACATTTTCTTGCATTAGAACCAACGTGCACTGAACTGCAGAAATCCTTTGGTTGAACATATGTCTGCAATTTGAGACTGAAAAGAAAAAAGGGAAAAGAGGAAAGTGAAGAAACATCTGATGCGCTCTCCCACTGCGAACAGATTTCTTAGTACTTCTTCCTTGTTCATCTTTAGGCTTTTGGAGGTTTCAGACAGGCTTGGTGTGTGTGAGTCATACTGCTGTCCAGCAGTATGGTATTAGCTTAAGGAAGTTCAGAACATGGTATACTAGCACTGTAATTGGAAATTTGTGACCCACAGCTGACACTGTAATCCATGTAAGGTATTTATTTAGTAGGGAGAAGGAAATCTGTGTGTTTGATTAACTCTTTGATTTTGAGGCACCTCTGAAATGGATGAGAATGTATTTGATTTTTTTTTTTTTTTAAAAAGACTCAATAAATTCTTTGATAAACCAGGTCTTAATGGGCAGGAAACTTGCAGCACCAGGGAATGAATGCTTGAGTGAGGAAAAAATGCTAACGTAGTGTTTGAAAAGGAGCTGTCTTATACCTGGTGGCCATAGACAAGCATTTGGCAACCAAATGCAGTGAAATCCTGTAAGGAAAGAGTAGTTAACTGCACATCTTGGCAGTAGTGGCTGGAAGTCAGAATTTCGAGTGCAGCCACAAGAGCATGATTTTTGGCAGTGCGTTTCTAAGAAGCCTTGCAGTTGGAGGAAAGGTGTGTGAATTCTGTCAGAGGTTTGGAAAGCTCTTAAAAGCAATTTAGACAGCGTGCTTGTTTCCTGCTCTGCAGCAAAGTGATTCTGGTGCTACCGTAATGTAACACTGATGAAACCAGTACCTTCAGCCTGGAAAGCGAGATGGATCAAGGGGTACTTTATTTTGTGGACTTCACTAAGCAGTCTGCAGACACCTGAGTGCTGTGCTGAGTTTAGATGAAAATGCTGATGTCTTTCATTTTCTTTCTGCTTCTGATGAGCAGATCTTGATGGCGATTTGCTGAGGGAAGACAAGGCAGATAACCAGCAGGGTAGATGAAAGAAGGAAGGATGCTTTGTGACCTGTGCAGGCTAGAGTTAGTCCTCACCATCCTGTTCATGGACAGTGAGGGACAGAAAGAAGCTCATTACTCCTTGGGTTGACCCCAGGTATTAAACTGGACCAGGTGAAGTACAAGGCATCCTCTTACACTGAGGCTGAATTACTCTGGATTGGGTGGAAGGCCCTGCTTGGGGAACAGCATTTGAATAGGACATTTTCCCCCCCTATCAACAAGAGCAGTACTTCTGTGATGGCAGTGTACCCCATTCCTGTATGTGCTGGGTGATGTTACAATGTGGTCAGTTTGGCATCACAGAATGGTTCATTTTAGATGTATAAATGTATGCTACCTCCATATAGTTTTCTACAGACTGTAGGTTAAAATTCTTCTTTTACAAGTGCTAAGGTAAGCAAAATGTAAAATTCAGGAAAGCTCTTTAAGTATTTAGAGATTTAATTGTGATCTCTCTCTGTCTTGGTCACATCAAAGCTCTGAATGAAAGCTTCATTTGATACTGGTGATGGGAACAACCTTGAAAGTGCAGTTGAGGGCTTTGTGACTGGATAGGACTTTCAATCGTCACCACAGTCTAAAAATACATCCCCATTCCCCATTAGAACTTGAAGGTGGTCCTTTAGTTACATGTTTAGAAATAACCAAAGGTAGGTGGGTGGATAATTCTTGAGCCTAAGATGGACATTTATTGCTTGAGGGAAAACACTGGCCACATGGAATCAGTGAGCAGTCCCAGAGCAGACAAGAACATTTCATAGGCCCCTGCCCAGCAATGAGTGAAACAACGAAATTGCAGTGCAACTGAGCACAGCTACTAATGAAGTGGCCGGGAGGGCTCCCATAGTTTGTGCTGTTCCTATGGCAAGTTGTCATGGGTTTGTTTGTGGTATTGCCTCAGTTTTCATCTTTCAGTTTGATAAGGTAGGGGTGAAGTTACTTTCTCTATTAAGAGCAATCTGCTTACATGATAAAGGGATATTCCCCTAGTAATATTAAATAATCTGGTTTAATTTGGATTTTAAAATATGAAATAAAATATAACAGTAGTATTTATCTATTATCCTTACAAAGAACGCTGCAGTTTATCTATTATCCCTAAGAAAAAAAACCTGCAGTACTTGTGTATGGCTTCCCTATCCCTGATTTTTTTCTGTTTTAGGCTACAGGAGGCATGGCAAGTCATCTTTTTTGCATTTGGGTGGTGATTGTTGGCGGTTGTGGAGCTGTTCCCTGGCAGTTTTGTTCATTATGCAATTAACAACCATCTAAAATCTATACTGCAAGCAGTATATGCAACTAATAATAATAATGTAAGTCCTTTTCAGGCTGCTAATAGATCAGAAGCAGAACAAAAACTTACTGGGAGCAATGAGGTTTTCCCCCAGTCACAGCAGAAAGTGTTTTATCAAAGCTACAGATCTACCACTGCCTGTTTTGATTCTGTTTCCCAGCACTGTTTCATTTCTGTGAGCGATTTATTTTTCTGATGAGTAAAAAGCATCCTTGTGTTTGTCTTCGGAAGGCAGCTTCTCTCCATCACCGTTGTTTTGGGTAGGGTTTTTCTAAAGATAAAAAGGCATCTTCTTACGCAGACAGCTGAACTGTTCTGCTTTTCTCGTTTCTACATGTGTTAAGTCCCCAAATGCATGCCTTGCTACCAGACAGAATACCGCATTCAGTATGTTTCGAGTGACTGCAGCATGACTGGAGCAATTTTGGAGTTTCTGGAATCAGTGGAAAAGGTAGCTTTGGTGGGCTTGCGTTTCCTTTTTACTTCCTTTCGAATTACTTGATGGAAAAAATGATGTATTTCAATTATTTTGGGGAGGTTGTTGGTGCTGAAATATTCATTTTAATCATTAAATATTTAAAATCGTGATGGCTGTTTGGAGTTTAAACTGTTCTTTCTAACCTGCACCAGCATATAACTCATTCATTAGAAGAGCAGACGACAAGATGAAATGTGGTATTTCAGCCCTGTTATTCACTGACAGTGTCAGGAATGAAGTATTTTGGGCTTGCATAATTTCTTACTTAAATCAGCTAAGAGGCAGGGGAGAACAAGCCTGCACAGTCTAATAAAGGTATAGAACTGGGAAAAATACATTGAATTGCCATTTAAAAAAGCACCACCACAACACATTCAGCTAGAGCAGAAAAACCAAAACTGTACCTGTTTACAACTGCACACCAGTTAGCATAAATGCAGTGAGTAAACTAAAAAAGGACAATTTAAAAGGAGTGTGGGGTTTTTGCTATTCCTCTGTGCCTTTATCAGTGCCGTCCGAGTTATAGAAATGAAATGGTGGCTTTATGAAGATGGGAACCGTACTGATGGCACTTGTTAGGATGTGAAGTGCTGTGTATGGACATTTCTGTTTGGAGACAGAGCATCCTATTTTTATATAACTGATCCTAGAGAAATTTGACAAAGATACATTTGTTCCAAAATAATTTCCTGGTCAAATGGATATATGTGTGCTTATCTTTGTGCTCTGCTTTATTAAAATAGGTGAAGTTGTAATTTGAAAGCTAGGCATTTGTAAGAGGCATTGGGCAGGGGTTGGGTGTCCAGGAATCCTTAGCTGGGTTTGACCTAGATGTATAGTTGTATAATAACGAGAGGCTACAAGCTGTGTATTGCTAAGCCTTAGCAAACCGCCTCCAAAAAACACAGCCATGAGTCTTGCCTGGTCACATGTGAACAGTTAGCAGCCATCTGGCAACAGCCTAAGAAATCTGCAGATTCACCTTTTCCAGTGCAGGGCACCTGCCTGGAGTGATGCAAGGGAGGATTTTGCCCAGTTTCTCCTGCTCAAGTGGCCTCCATCCTTACTATGGCACCGGTATAGGGGAGTTGTGCTCCTGGGGTGAAGGAGGGATCCTGTGTGGGTGCTCTCGGTTTGGGAGGAGGAGGATAACTTTTAACAGGAGGCAATGGGGTGTGCTTATAGCTCAGAGTAGGTGTTAGCTGGCAGTGACTGGGTGGCATGTGGGAGAAGGGGAAAGGCAAACTGCAGATCTTTTGCATGGCAGTTGTTTTTAGGCAGGCAGTGTGTATGTAAGCTAGTAAGTGAATGAAGCTGTCCTGCTCCTCCTGTGTGAGTACCTGTCCAGAGCAAACCGGCTGGTTTGCAGGACTGCAGAGGTGGTTAAAAATTCATTGGAATTTCCAGTGAAAGAGGAGACTTACAACATGAGTTAATGGTGGGTTTTTTTTGTTTGTCCTGGCTATGCTATGCAGTTCCCTATGCTGAGGTTTGAACACCACATCCACCATGGAATGTAGCCTGAGTGAGCTAGCCTGCAGGATCCAAGCAGTTTGTCTCTACTTATCTCTGTTTCAGAGAAACGGTTGAGAGGGGCTCTTGATTCTGCTGACTCAGATGTTCCAGTGTCTGTGGACCTTGGCCACAGTCACACAGACCTGTGCTTGGGAACAAGGCGCAGGCAGCGCTGCCTGGGCTGTCTGTGCACTGGGGATGCTGGCTGTGCCGAGCTCCTGGGAGGCGGGTGCAAGCTGAGCCCCAGGGCAGCTCTCGGAGCAGTGAGAAGCTCTGACCTCCAGAGGTGGACAGGCACCACTGGGCTTTTGTGTATGACAGAGATCCTCAGAAGGGGATGAACTCAGTGCTTCTAAAGCAGGATATTTTTAATGAAGGAACTCTTAGATATAATTAATGCAAACATGTTTTCATGGTATGTGTGCCACTTTCCGCTCTTTACTAATGTCTAGTAAAAGTACTGATGACCTCCGAATAACCACTGAATGCCAATCTCATGTCTGTTTAATTTTTTTTTTTTCAGATTAATATTTTAATACAAACCAGTGAAGATGACACCAAAACACGAAAAACAAGTAAGTCATGTTTAAGCTTTAATAAAAGGATCCTAGATTGGTGGTGGTGGATTGAATTTCATTAAGGGTCACACGGACCAGGAAAGATCGGTTGTATTCTTTGTGCCTTTGTGAGGGTAGAGGATGTTCTGGAGTGGTGCAGTGACAACTCCTCCTGTTAAAGTTGATGGAAGAATCAAATATTCACTGGATCAGAGATAAGGCAAGTAAGTGACTCTGCAATAAGAGACTTGGATGCTGAGACAGGTAGAAGAATTTGGATTTCTCTATTCTCTCCATCAGTCTTGTAGGACATAATGGGTGGAGCTGGGTCTGAACTCTGATTACAAGGCACATGGACCACAAGAATCACACTTGCACATTCACTTTTGCTCATTCCCAACGAGCATTAAAAGTTGCAACAAATTATTTTGTCCCAGTCATAGCAGACTCGATGATGTCCCAGCATGAAAACCCCTGTGTTCTTTGTGGTTGATCCTTTTGGAAACAGGCAGCCTGATGAGAAGCTCAGTTTTTCTCAGCTTTGTGGAAAATGACTCCTTGGGGGTTATTGACTAATTGTATGTGTAACCGTGGCACTATGGAGCATGAGGTTGTCACCTGATATGGTCCTGGGCAAAGAGATTTGAATTAAAATGCAGCTGGAATGATTGATGCAAATAATCATCCAGTGCGAGATTATTTTTGCCCTCCTCCTTGTGGTAGATTCCCCCACCCCCATATTAAAAATAGATGTTTCCCTGTCAGATTTCCTGTTTTCCTAATAGGAAAATGTTAAAAATAGGTTTCTCAGAAGCACAGGCTTTATGGTTAAATTCTATGTAGTATAGCTTCTGGCTTATTCTTGTCTCTGAGCAATCCCTTGCATTGTGCCAACCCTAACTATTCTATGATTCTATTTCCAAGAGGAGAAGGAGGTGCTGGGGGAAAGTTAAAGACTTCTTCTTGTCTTTACTTCAGCTGCTTTTATGGTGTATTCTTAGAATGGCAGAATGGTTTGGGTTGGAAGGGACCTTAAAGATCATCTACTTCCTACACTCCTGCTACAGGCAGGGACACCTTACACTAGAGCAGGTTGCTCCAAGCCCCATCCAACCTGGCCTTGAACACTGCCAGGGATGGGGCAGCCACAGCTTCTCTGGGCACCCTGTGCCAGTGCCTCAGCACCATCATAGTAAAGAATGTTTTCATAGTATCTCCCGCTCTGTCAGTTTAAAGCCATTCCTCGTTGTCCTCTCCCTACATGCCCTTATGAAAAGTTCCTCTCCAGATTTCTTGTAGGCCCCCTTTAGGCACTGGAAGGTTGCTGTAAGGTCCCCCAAAGCTGTCCCTTCTCCAGGCTAAACAATCCCAGGTCTCTCAGCCTGTCTTCCTTTTGAGGCAAATCCAAATGGGAACATTTCATTTTTCAGTGCTTGCCTCTACATGACCTCAGTGCTGCCCTTGTTCTTTGCACAGGGCTGTAGCCATAAGGAGTAGGTGTAAACCAGGCCTGGGGGGTCACTTTGGCCATTTTGTCATTTATGTGTGACCCAACTACTTGCACTGCTCCGAGTCTTTAGGACATGGTATGAAAATGCCACAAGTGCCATGTCTAAACTGGCTGGCTTAGCCAGGTATTAAAAGGCACATCCAGCCAGAGGAGCTGCTCTGCTGATTCATGCTTGTTAAGTAGTTACAACTACTTTTTGTAGAAGTTACCACTACTTTTGGGGCAGATTTGAATATCTTCATGAGCGTGTTTGGGCCAGCGTGGCTGCTGGGATTCATATCAAAGCTACTGCACTAGAAGTTTGGATAGGAAGTGTTTTGCTTATGAACATGTTACGCTTATCTTCCAGTTTCCAGGAAGAAGGGATAAATGGAGATACCACTTTTTCCAGTAGATCTGTGTTGAACCTGTGTTGTGTCCAGTACAATAGGCCTCTACTACCAAGCTTGAACACTTTGAACTGTCAGCAGTGTGTTCTGCTTTTGAGAGAACTGTTTGGTTAATCATTATAGAACATGTGTCATTCTTGAATGCATGACAGGCATGCAGGTATTGTGCCCCTCAAAAAACAAAACAAGACCACCTCCAAACCTCCAAAATAGGAAGTAGAAGTAATGTGGCAAAATAGCTAGGTCTGTAACCGTGGAAGAACCATGCAGAGCTGGGTGGGGGAAGATGACGCCTTGAAAAGGACTGCAGTTGATGAAATAAAAAGTCCCTGGAACCTTGGCTACCTTTGGGCTTTGCTTTCCAAGTTGTACAGATTAAGTTAGTCTTCATGTGCACTGTGGGAGGAAGAGGTCAGTCTCGCCTCCTCTAGGGGAGTGGTGCATTACTTGAAGATAGACATGCCTATTGAGAGTATCATAGTTTTTATGGCAAGATGGGGAGAAAGGCAGGTATTACCCAAAACTGCTGTAATCTGGTGACAGTGACCAACGAACACAGGATGGACTGAGCATAGAGCAACAACCTAGCTCTGTTTGGACCCTAATGTAACTTATATGTAATATTGGCCTTCACAAGCTTGTTTTTATAGGAATGGGGAGGCATAAACACCTTTTCTGGCGGTGTATCTGCATTTATACTGGGCAGTTGGGGCTGCTTTGAGTAAATCAGTACTGTTGTCCCAGTGAGGTCTGGTATCCTGGAGAAGGCTTTAAAAGGTTAAAAGAAAAGGCGTAGTCTATGTATGCAATGCCACTGTTTCAGAGCAGAGAAACTGTAATGGGAATTGGGATTAATGCTTCCTGGATTCAAGATGTTTATTAGAGGAAGTAACCATAGATCTTGAGAAAGGCTGTACATTTTTGGGTTTGTTTTCTGATTGCTTAATGTTTATCTTGCTTCATTCTGAACTCAGTGTCAGTATTCTTTGGTAAATGAGGGGGGAGGGAGAGAACTACCCAGTCTGCTGCTGAAATCCTGGTGTTCCAAACTGGAGCTGATGATGACTGTGCATGAGGAATGCAGTTTGCTGAGGTGCTCTGCTGTACCACAGATCACTTTGACTCTTGGCTCAGTGATACGCTGCCTGGACACTTGCCTGCCATAGTGTGTATAGCAGCTACCTTTTCCTCTATAGGTAGAGCCTGAAGGGCGTTTGACTTCCTCAGTATTGAAACTGGTGACCGTTTAACTGGAAATTAAAAATGTAGGGTTTTTTGTGTGTATCATCTGGTCTGGAATGATTTGCAAGGTAACCCGTAGCTAACCCACAGCACATCCAATAGCAACTTTTAGCCGTAATACTTTGGTATAACAGATGTTGAAAGAAGCATTTTACTTCTAAGATTATTTTGATTCTGTGCAAAGGAGAGGGTTATAGGAGATTACTTGGAAACTAAGGGATTTGGGGAACCTGAACAAAAGGAAATGCAGTGAGCAGTAAGTATGGCAGTAGATAAAAGGAAGGGGACTGAGGTTAGGTTATGATTAGGCTACATGCAAGATGTGACTTCGGGGCTGCAGTGGTTGAAGGGGAGAGCAGTGCCCCATTTGAAGGTTCCTGGCATAATTCCTCTTCTTCCACTTGCAGGACTGATGCATGTAGTGTCCAGGAAAGAAAAGAAAGTATGTTTGGAAGTAGCTGCAGCTCTGGTGAAGAGTGGGTCATGGGGAAGTAAAAGACTGGGGAGCATAAAAACTTGGGAGAATGTGAAACCACAGATATGAAAAAATGTTATGGTGGGTCTGAAAGTATGTTATGCCTATATATGTGTGCTAAATATGATAGACAGGGAGGCAAGCAGAAAAAACAGCAACCAACAAATGGCTTCCTCTCCTGTGTTCAGCATATTGCTCAGGATCTGCTCAGGACGGGGAATAACTTCCTCATGGTTCCCCACTAGCACTTTTGTAAAAGTAAAGGCATGATCCTTAGCTGGTAGATGTGAGTAGAGCTCTGTTCATTTGTTCCTCTTGTGCCATGTTGGCATGGGGTTAGAGCACTCCAGAGGAGAATCAGACCTCTAGCACTTTTCAGTAAGGAAAAAAACAGCAGAGGTGGTGGGAGCTGTTCAGATGGGCTCTCTTTGGTGAGGTGCTCATGACACACACCGAGAGGGTATCCAACAATAACGCAGAAAACACCCCTTCAACTAGGAGCTGGGCTAAGAGATAAAACCATGAACTCTCTCCAGCCCTCAGGCCACAGGCTCCCCATCCCTGCAACAGTTCTGCCTGGAAATCAAAGCGATAGATTATTTAATCCAGGATGCGAACACACCTCTGCCATGCACTGAGTGCAGTGACCGCTCAGGAAAAAATACGTGTTTTCCTTTCAAGGCTGTTGTTCTCCTGTTGGTCCATGGAAAGTTGCTGCTGGTGGCACACTGAAGTGTGTGGTGGGGGAGAAGACTTGGCTGAAGAGTGAAAGGTTGATTTGACATCCGCAGTTTGGACATGGAGAGATGCGTTTTCAGAGCGTTCTACGTCAAGATTTCTTGATTTAAGCAAAGATGTACTAAAAAAGCGTGTTATATACCAGAGACACTGTCATTCCTCCCACAGTCTGTTCCTGTACCTGACAATCTTGTGCAGTGCCTTTCTCTGGTGGAGGAATGTACCAACAGCTTAAAATGATACGCTTTTCTTTAGCTGAGACATAAAGTGGTTGGCTTAGTTCTTTGGGTGGATAGCTTGTTTATGCAGCTGGGGAATGGCAGTCTGTTCATTTGATCGGTAAACAGCAGGTAGTTAAGCATACTTTCAACCTTTGTATTTTAAAGAAACCTTGTCTTAGTATAAACATACAGATTTAGGAGGCTTTTTGGTTTTGTTTTTTAATACAGTACAACATTTCACATGGTCGTTAGCTGAGGAGTCTCAAAAGCATTTAATTCTTCGGCCTTTTCCAGTTCCTATTGGTGGTGCTTGGTCACATTACAGTAATGCCCACAGGTCTGTCTCACTCCTTCAGGATCCCTCTTAGTGTAAATGTAGGAATTACAAGGAAATGGACTAGATATGACAACCTCTACAACAAATACTCTGTATCATTGACCTCCCAGAATGAGAAGTTCTGGTTTGCAGTGCAGCTGTTTTGCTTTCTTGGGCACGTTGATGAGCAGACTGGGAGAGAAGTGCCCAGATCCTGCACCCTTGGCTCTACTCCATGGCTTAAGTTCCTGGTGTATTAGGAAGTATATGCAGCAGAGGGGAAAGATTCACCCCCTTCCACACAACATCTGAGACACTGGGCTTGAGACCTTGATTCCCTGTGTGCAATCTGTGTCTGGGGCAGTTAATAGTGGGACAAGCTTTTCCAGTGTTCTGGAGCAAGTCATTTGGGGTGTAGAAAAAGGCACTTATTTGGCTCCTCATGGAGATACTGAGCAGTTACCTCATATCCCTGAAAGCAATGGATATAAATAACTGATAAAAAAATAAAGTGCCAAAAAAAAGGGAGCGAATAAAATGTTATATGTAATACTGGGTACATGGGCAGGTTGTAACACATTTTTTGTGAACATTGATTGCAAGGGTGGGAAAATAGTAAAATACCTGCCCGGTTCTTTAATACACGTGTGACTTGGAACGTTAGGTTTTTGGTTTGTAGCTACTGAGACCACCAAATCTCCCATGCATGAAACATGTCTGACTGTTCACTGTATTACTTAATCTGAAATATTCCTCTTAAGACAGAAATTTGGCAAAGAATTTCCCAGTCATGTGGTGTAGCTCAGATGATTCATTGCTTTTTGCTTCTCCTTTTATAGGGTTGCAGGATTCAATAAAGCAGCAGTTCAGCTTTTAATCCGAGCGCAGCAGTTTGTGGAAGAGCAGAGCAATCAAGAGAGTCTTTCAGGCTGCCTTTGTCTTCACAAATTAATTGATTTTTATTATGCACTTGCAGGAATTTGTAACTGTCTTGGTGCGAGACCCCAGGACGCACAAGGAAGACTCATGGCATTCTTACGTAGACTATGAGATATTTATTCATGTAAGTATAAGAATGTCAGCACAGATTCCTTGGGCTCTTATTGCTGCTTCTGTCCAAGCCACAGTTCTCTTTGGGGCGTTAATGGGATTTCTTTATACCACTTCTGGGAGGCTGGAGGATATTATTGTCCTTTTAACAACTGAGACACAGTGGGACAGGTAAGGTGGGTTGGCCAAAGGCCATGCAGCAAGTCTGGCAGAGCTGGGAGTTGAACCTACTACTGTGTTCACATGTGCACTCTGCAGTGCCTTGCAGCAGAGACTATTCTTAGCTTGTTTTTTAGGTTATTCATGGGAGAAAGACTTTATTTTCACGTAATTATCTGGTTATTTGTACTTTAAATTATCCTTAGTTCTTTTTGCCAAGTTAGTTGGTTGCTGGGGTTGTTTTCTGTGTGCCTTGATATTCATGTTATGCTAGTTGAAGGGTGCTTGGATATGTCAAGTAGCTACATTTGGTTTATCCTTGTAGTCCACCATTTGTTAATGGGAATGCACTTGGAATTATGGTTCTTGTGTGTTCTAAATCTATCCTCTATACTGTGTTGTTTTGTTCATTCTTCTTTGGTGAATGATGTGCAGAAGGAGTTATCCAGAGATTTTAAATGCAATGAAAAAAAAAGAAAAAAAAAAAAGAAATATATCTGCTATCAGGTGAGGGATTCGAGAGCACTGAGTTACGTGGCTAATGCTTGGCACAACACCAAAAGCATTTCTTTCCTGTGTGGGAGAGTTCAACATTCAGCATAATGACAGCAAGCAGTCAAATGGTGGCTTATTCGATGTCCATCTTACCTTTCTCCTGTGTGGCAGAACTCTTAAGTCTCGTGATGTGGTTTAGTACTGGTTCCACAGCAGTTTTACTTGTGGTAAATAGGAATTCTGTAGATGTGGTGGGGTGGGTGCTCTGTTACTGTTTCAGAGGTATTGGCACCTCTTATTAGAAGTATATTATGGCTTTCTCAGGGGCTGCTAAGCTGCAGTGGTGTCATTGAGACTCAGTGTGTTGTGGTTTAACCCCATCCAGCACCTAAGCACCACACAGCTGCTCTCTCACTCCCCCTACCCAGCAGGATGGGGGAGAAGAATTAGGAGGGTGAGAAAACTTGTGGGTTGAGATAAGAACAGTTTAATAATTGAAATAATAATAAAAATGTGAAAAGGAAAATAACACAGAGAGAGAGAAATAAAACCCAAAAGAGAGACAAGTGATGCAAATGAAAGCAATTGCTTACTACCAACTGACTGACACCCAGCTGGTCCTTAAGCAAGAGGCCCACCAGCCAACCTTCCCTATAGTTTATTGCTGAGTATGATGTCATATGGCATGGAATATCCCTTTGGTCCCAGCTGTGTCTCCTCCCAGCTTCTTGTACACCCCCAGCCTACTCTCTGGTGGGGTGGAGTGAGAAGCAGAGAAGTCTTTGATCCTATGTGAGCACTGCTCAGCAATAGCTAAATCATCCCTGTGTTATCAAACGCTGTTTCCTGCACAAATCCAAACCATATCCTCATCCTAGCTCCTATGAAGAAAATTAACTCTACCCCAGCCAAACCCAGCACAGTGTTACATGATTCAGCACTGGGCATTTCTGAGGCTGAAAAGCATCCACTCAGCTTCCTACCAGCACAATGCCAAGCGTTTTCAGAGACCAAGTCTCTAGGTTAGTCCTGCCATCTCCAGGCTTCTCCATGCATTCAAAATCTTGGGTCTGCCAGATGTTAGGCCAGCTGGGTTGCCCTTCTGCCCAGCTCTTACAACATGTGGCTTGCTAAACTGTGAAGTATCCCAGGTACTCATCTATATGGGAAAGCTGCATCTCTGGGCCCTCTACAATCTGCATCATGTGGTTGTCTAGGAGTTGTGGCCCCTGCAAGGTGATAGAGGGTGGGTTGGTCTGCAGGCAGATTTATAATGGAGTCCTGTCAGTCATCTAAATGTACGCTCCAGAGGATAATTTGGCAAAAGCATTTAATTTCCGTGAATTGTTTCTCTTTTGATGAATTAGCTTTTTTTTTCCCTAGTGGATTAATAGTGATGTGCGGGAAAAAATCCAAATGCTCCTACTTGCAGAGAGCAGTCACGTTGGTTTCTTTGATTTGATTTAAGTAGATTGCACACTGGAAGAACTCTATGTAGCTGTTTGCGGGATTATAATTAGAATAGACAGAGATCGTATTTCCTGTTATTGCAAGTTGTACCATAACCGAGATCTCTTGCTTTTGAAAAGAAAGCACGCAATGAAATATATTTCCCTGAGAAGCAGTAGAAACTGTCACTGGTCCTGCCCGAGGTAAAGCACAGTCCTTAACCTAAACTGAATTAATGTCAAGCTGTCCATTGGTACCTCGGGGATTAGCATCTCGGGTGTGTTTTTAATGCCATGCCTGCACTTTAGCTTAAGCTGATTTACAGATTGAAAAGGTTTTTGATTTCCCAACAGACAAACAGTATGTGCTTCACGAGGAAAACATCCTGTGTCAGACGGCGCTTCCGAGAGTTTGTTTGGCTCCGGCAGAGGCTTCAGAGCAACGCAGTGCTGATGTAAGCAGCTTGATACAGGGCTAATTAGTAATATGCCAATTACAGAGGGGGAGGATTGTTTCATCATAATTCTGAGAACTACAGACATCCAAGCTGGAAAGTGTCGAGTGTTTCTCACTGCAGAAGTGTATTGTGTGTAAGGCATTTTCTCTGCTTTAAACCCAGAATGGTTTGGGTTGGAAGGAACCTTAAAGATCACCCAGATCCAACCATCCACTAGACCAGGAGGCTCAAAGCCCCATCCAACCTGGATTTGAATGTGGTTTTTAGTGATAGCCTGTATTTGGTGTGCCCCTCTCCAATTTGTAACAGGTTTGATCTGCATTTCCTTTTGCTATGCACAGGTAGCAGAAATAGGAACCTAGCATAAGTGTATGTGTATCCTTTCTTTTGGGATGCGCTTACGTTCTGCAAGGACCATTAAAGACCCAGCCAGATACGCATGCAGGCTTTACAACCGGAACAGAAAAATCAGATTAATTTCCTTTTCCCTTTGAGGTGTGTGAGAAGCCCTCCAGTTTCTCAGCCTTTGATTTCATGAGCTTCTGGAACATGACCCATGATTTGCACATGCTCGGGGTCAGCATTTGCTTACTGAGTTTTCCTCCGCTGATTCAGATTTGGTTTAAACTGTGTATTTCCTTCTTGTTTATAAAGACAGCTACCTGACCTGCCATCTAAGACTCCCTTTTTCAATATGAATAATCCTCATCACGTGGACCATCGCCGGCAAGGTCTGCAGGAATTCCTGGAAAAGTAAGTACAGCCTATCCTGGAGATGTTGGCATTGCTATGATGTCATCAATGTCTGGTTTAATATAGCTCATCTCTGGTACTTGAGAGCCACCGTGTGGTCATCTGTACATGCTACATACTTGATTTTATTTGCACAGTCATATTTCATACACGTGGCTTCAGCTCTATTGGCTGAGAGGAGACTTCAGCTGAGGTTCTATTGTGTTCCACTGGGGTAGCTATAAATAATAGTTTTGGATTTAAGTCACTTTGCAGTTGTGTACTAAGGTTGGGAGATCTTTCACTGTGGCATCTATTTCTATATTTCAAGAGCAAGAAAGATAGTCTCATACAAAGAAGCAGACTTCTCCTCATGTCTGTGGAGAATCAGTGTCTTTGTGAGCTAAGCCCCTGGGAGCCTGTGAGAATTCTGTAGCCAGATCTCCTAACACAGGTATTTCCTATAATACCAGTTACTTTGTTTACCAACCCCACTAACATAAGCAAGCTCTAGCAGCTGTGATCATTTTCAGTACAGCTGCAATGTGTATAAAATCATTCATCAGGCTTAGCTAGAGCCTGACCTGTGTTACAAGGGAGCACTGTATGAGTCTTGGTTCTGCATCCCTTGGTCCCACTGCTGTAACCACTTCACCTTCTGCAGTGGCAGGGGCCCCGCTGGTGTAATTTTCTGCTTCCTCTGCCATTCCCGTGGTACCCTGGCACTGCTGCTGTGGGAGGAGGCTGCTCACAGCTGCTGGGGCAGGAATTGTGTGTACATTTGCAGGTGGTCTTTAGTTACTGCTCGGGGTAAGGGCATGCTGAAACACTGCAAATAGAGACTATTCATCTGCCTTCAGTATCAGTGTCTCTGTGAACTGGAACTGTACAAGCAAAGGGAAAAAGCAAATCATTTAAGCAGGCTTTAAGCCTTGTAGTCAGTGGGTAGAGGAATATTAGACCCCTTTTTTGTTTAAGTCAGTGTATTCTAATTATAAGCCACCCTAACACAACCAATCATTGGTCCTGAGTTATATTTGTTAGGCTTAATAGCTGAAGACAGGGAGAACTAACTGCTGCAAGAGTAATGTTCTGTATACAGTTATATAGTATCTGTGGCCAAGAGGATAGCCAGTAAATACTGGTTGAAGGCATGTGAGTCAGGGAAGGGAAAGCAAAAAAGCATCAGAGGTTTTTTTTCTGCAGCTCAGGAAAGAAGGATGGTGAAATAGTGACTGTGCTTCCAGAGCCAGTAATACTAATGGTCATGCAATGGGTGTGGTAGCCTATGTCCCTGAGCCTGAGCAGTTCTAGCTCAGCTGTGCTGCCCCATGGAGTAGTACATTTCTAAGATCACTCATTTTAAAAGGGCAAAGAGGCCAATCTGGTAACTGGGTACAGTATTTCAGCATATTTACATATTTACAACTGCTGTCTGTGCTTCAAAAGGCAAAACAGAGAGGAAGATTCTCTTAAAACACATTCTCACCCTCCGGTTTTAGATGTCCGTAGCTTAAATGGGTAGTGCCAGCAGAAAATGGCAGGATTTGGAGTTTTACCTTGCCGCTGTTAGTCTAGGAGTGAGAAAAGAGACATCGCTGTTGTAAGGTGATGATTTAAGTATTTGAACTTCATGTTGTTTAGAAAGGTGTCAGCTTTCTCTGAGCCCTGGGGAACAGTTGGAAGGGATTTTCAGGGACTGTGTTGTGATGGATTGGCTTGGCACCTTGTGTGCTGTACCATTGCCCTCTGCTGGCTGCCGCCTCTGTGCTCCTGCTGCATGCAGAAGGCATCCTTTCACTGGCTCAGCTAGGCTGCCATGATGATTTTTTTTTTTATCGTGCTTTTTATGAGTCTGGAGCAAAGTTTATGATTTCTTTCTCTAAAACTGAATTTGTGGGATAGTTAACAAGTGTGTGTATAATTATGTGTATAACAAGTGTATGCATACACACACATACACACTTGACTTTACTAAAGCTCTAAGCCTGGATGCTCCATGTTTTGTAGTGTGGCAGTTCCAGGGGAATCTCCCTGGTATATTAGAAAAGGGATGAAAAGGGATCCAGAAAGTAATTGCATGTAGTGATGTAACTCAGAACTGCAAAGCACCTCAGCAATGATGGCAGTCACCGTGCAGAAGCTCACAGCTGTGCTGATGTTTCTTTATGGCAGTGGGAAGAAATGGGATTCACAGAATGGTTTGGGTTGGAAGGTACCTTAAAGCTCACCCAGTTCCAACCCTCTGCCCTGGGCAGGGACACCTTCCATTAGAGCAGGTTGCTCCAAGCCCCCTCCAGCCTGGCCTTGAACACTGCCAGGGATGGGGCATCCGACCTTACATGGACCTCTCACGGGAGAGGTTTGCAGGTAACATTTTGCAAAGGCCACGTGTGATGCAGGAACCAAAGTCCTCTCTGCTCTCGGTGCCTTGTGAGGTTACCAGGATCCAAGCCGTCTCTGAAATGTTGTTTAGATCTTTCACAGTCTCAGTTTGTGCCGTGCTCGTTGCTGCATGAGCAGGTTGCTGTGGTGTCTGCCCAGGCAGAAAGGAGCCACATACCTGAGGAGTAAGGATCAAGTGGCTGGAGGCTCTCTGGTACTTGTCTTCTGGCCCTGGGAGCAGCTCCATATTGCCTACATGTGGATGGCGCTTGTCTTCCTTCACGTGTCACTCCAGAACAAGTTAGCACTGGGCAAGGTGCATACTTAGGCGAAGCCTTTGTAAAGCATCTCTGATCTGAGTACAGTAGTGTGAGAATTGGGCCAACAGCTGGAAACTAAAGCAAAGCTCTATAGAGTTTTGGTGAAATCTGGAAACAGGTGTCCCATTTTGATTTGGCTTTACTGCACAAATGCAGGCTAAGACCTTGTCTCACAGGTTATTATCTCTGAGTGATGAAGAGCTGTAAAGCTCACTTCTTGTCTGGGCATAATTTAATATTTCAAGAGGCCATTTGCATTAACGGAAGTCAGCTAGCCCCTCTTCAATTATGAATTACTTTGTAAGAATAAGGAAAATTATGTGTTTTTCCTGGTAAGTATCCTCATCCTTTGAGGATGTCTGTAAATTCACAGGAGAGGCTTGTTCTTAAATTAGAGGTCAAAATTAAAACCCTATCTTATAAAGTTCTGTAAAATCCTCTTTGCTTTCCAGCCTTTGTAGCAGCACAGGTTTAACTGTGGTATTTAGATTACCTTCACAATTTGGCTTTGCTTATTAGAAAACTAATTAGCAAAACTGTTTTAAATGAAATTTGGTTCCATCACTGACTTTTTTTATTTTTAATACAGCTGGATGCAAAAAACTGTGTGGTTTAGGAAAAAGGGTTAGTCTTCAGTAGTGTTCAAGCATGCAGTTTCTGATGGGGTGGAAGAGGTAGTAGGAGTTCTGAGTAACTCAGACCCAGGGGAGATGAAGGGCATCCATGGTGTTGCTGCTCCAGGTGGCTGTGTGTTGGGCTTGCTTGGTGCTGGAGTGAGCAAGCCACCCAAAAGTTGGCTGCCTGAGGCAGAGCCATTCCCTGGAAGTGGCTCTTCCTCAACCTCCTTACCTTACCCACCACAGTCCCATAGGCAGGAGCTGGTGCAGGGTCAGAGGACCCTACTGGAGGTGCCTCTGCTGTGTGCTCTCTTGGGGAGGTGGAAAGCAGGAGACTGGCTCCAAAGGAGATGGATGCTGGCTTGCTGGGGCTAATCCAGGAGTATTGGTGGCCATGGGGCAGGTGGGATCTCCTTAAGCAAGAGATTGGTTGCTGCTTTCCAATGGAGCCTTGCTTGTATTTCCTATCTGGTGAGCAAAGTGAGTAATGCACAGCAGGCGCATGTCGCTTAATCTTTTCCTCAGATGCCCAACAGTTGCTTCACAGTTGCTTGCTATCAGTAATATTTCCTCCCTGATAAAAAATGAAGGAGAAGACGCAGTTGGCTTATTTTAAGAGGGAACTGGGGCTTTGTTTGCTGGGACTGAGGGGCTGGATGCTCAATAGAGGGCAGCACAGCATAGGCTGTCATTCCCTGCCTCTCCGCTCCTGGCTTTTTCCCCCCCCCTTGCTCTTATGATATGATGTAAATGGTTAGAGTAAATTTGTCGAAAACAAAATCGGGAGTGTTAACCTTCCACACACATGCGAGCATGCATCTGTCATTGTATTAGGTTACAGGAGATACAGGAAATCTTTAGTTAGGATTAAGTTGTGCTGTTCAGCCATATGTTGTTCTCCTCCAGCAGAACAGTGTATAATATACCTAATAAAATCATTTTGAAGAAAACCAGATTTTGGCCCTTGTCCAAATAAGACAAAACACATGTTTTGTCTTTTGTAAATGTCCTTGCCATAACATGGGGAAGGAGAAATAATCATATAGTATCCAGCGTTTCCTCAAAAATAACATTATTTCTTCTGGTTGTGAAGTGACATTTTTCAGTCCCTCTTCTTTAAAGGTCTGGAGATCCCAAGCATTTACTGAAAGCTTACAAACAAGGCTTCACGTGGCTGTGAATAAAAAATGATTTTATTATCTCTAATTCAAATGTAGAGCCTTATCCTGCAGCCCCCTTAATCACATAAGTAGTCATTATGCGTGTGAGCAGTCTGGCTGAGAGGAGTGAGATCTCTGACAAGTAATGACTGCTGATGGGATCAAGACTTGCAGGATTTAGCCTCTGGTTCCTACTCCAGGCGTGCGCTGGAAGTCTGTTGTTCTCTTAAATATGCTCACTCAGTTTATAGGAATTATCACCGTGAGCTGTGACTCTTCCATTAGCGCAGCGGCAGCGAGAGCTGATTTACATCGCTGTAGCAGCAGCTTTGCACTGACACCGGCTGTAATAAAACTGTTGGAGAAGCACTGGGAGTGCTACTGGTTGTGTCGAAGCTGCGCACGCGCTCAGTGTCTGCTGAGACATCTGAGTATTAATATTGTGACACTGTCTTGCCTCCTGCCTTTTTAATTTGTTAGCTAGTGTTTTGTGACTTTGATTCTTCAAGTCCTTGGTGCCAAATCTGCTTTTTTTAGATGTACAACCCTTAACACACAGAGTCCCCAGGAGAGCAAAAGCCCTAGAGAGCAAGTGCTACAACAACATTTAATACTAGTAGTACCATCTGGTGACAAACGTGTGGTTGTTCCCTTGAAGGAGTATTTTGAACAGGAAGGCATAATGCTTACAGATAGCAGAGAATTTATTTCTCATTTTGATTGCTTGAAGAATGCAATTAAGAAGCAATCTAACCTGTTGGTTCAGAGGGGGTGGGAAAGGCACGTTAATTTTTAATTAAAAGGAAGAAATGCTTCAGGGGTGCCACTGGGTGAAAGAAGTTCATGTATTTGCTTTCAGGGTGGTTTTAAATGGTTTGCAAAATGCACTGGGTGTTTTGTCCCTACCCCCTGTATGAACGTGTGTGTGTGTGTGTGTGTGTGTGTGTGAGATTGGCTTTATGATCATCTTTCCATTTCTTTGCCTTGGTTTCTCTTCAATCCTTTCACCTCCAGATGGCACTATGAAGCAGAAAAGAAAATTACTGTGAAATAATGAGTCCAATGTAAAGTAAAATTGGAAATTGAATTATAGCTGCAGAAAAAGGACAGTAGCCTTGAGGTCCTGATCAGTCTGTACTCTTATCACTTTTGTTTGCTGTTCCATGTGTTAGGTTACTGCCGAGTTAATAACAGTGCTTCAGCAGTTCAAGGCTTAGCAGAATTGTACTGGACATGAAATAAAGCTAAAATGAATTTGTGTCCAATATCATTGACATTAGTGCTCATTACTTCTCTGGTGTAATGCCTCAAACCATCTAAAATCAATTTTAAAGATTAACCATTATTTTATAAAGAAAATAAAATAACATTTCAAACAGCAACAGAGCTGTAAGTGTAGTGTAATCCCACAAACAGTTAGTTACTTGTGTTTGCGCTGGTTGGCAGGAAACTTTTGAAGGTATGGCAAGAGGAAAATCTGTGAAACTAAATGCCATCCACAGATTTTAATGTCTTGGCTTTTTGCTGGGTCACTTGGTATTAGACACGCAAATGTTAGAATTGCAGAAACGTGCATCCCCTCATTGTGCTCTTAAGCCTGGGAAAAACAGTAACTCTGGTTACTCTACAGTAAACTCCAGCTTCACTTTTCCTCTTCTTTTAAGAGGGAGAAAAGAGGAAGGAGAATATTTACTTCTGCAGTTGCATAAACGATAAATGTGGATTTATTGTGGGGAATGATACTTTTTTACTTTTTGTTGCAGTGTTTGTCTTTGTTTGGAATGTACGTTTATCAAGAGCCAAGGCTGAAATCCTCTTTTAGTGGCCGCTGAATGATGGCTTTTCAAACTGTATTCGTGAAGCTGTTGCTGTGAATGTGTGTAGCCCTGTAAATTTTGGGTTTTAAATCATTTTTACGCAGGATTTGCTGGCTTTGCTGACTACGAAGAAGTTTTTCTGTATATTGATACACTGTGTGCAATGATTTTACAGATATCTATTTGCTATGTTTATTTTAAAGTAAGATTATGAGAATTTAGATCAGATTAAAAAGGCTTTCTCTAGGTATGGAATGTGCTCATTTTGAACTTCAGTGAAATCTGCTCCGAGACTGAACTTCAAATGCACCTGGTAGATCATTAGGGCCGTTGCAGACATTTCCTCATTGGAAGGTGTCAAAGTTTGAGTTATTTGGTTGAGACTGTGTGTTTACCTAGGCAAATGAAATGTGCATGGACGTGAATATTGCCCATTTTCAGCTAGATATGCCTTATTACTTACTTTGATTTGGCAGATTTTTGTACGCTTAGATGAAGCCACAAATCCTGTTGTGTGTTACTAATGTTATTATAATGTTGGCCACTTTAGAGAACAGTTTTCAGAACATATTTGTTTTAAAGCATTACGGTGCAAACGCACCATTAATCTTATTTGAGAGGAAGAACTACTCAGTTACATTTTCCATTTTAGTCCAAGTACCTATAGAATGCAGTATTTCATTCTTTCTGCTCTTACTTGTTCTTACATTAACGTCCTCTCTTCTTCCCTACTGCACAGCAGTGCCATTTTTTTGTAATGACTGTAATCTAAATGGGTAGAAGTAAGTAAATATTGACTCCTAAAAGTTTTGATTTGTTTAAAGATACTTTAATAATTTTCCGTGGAGGACTTTTTGGCATAGTCATAGGTGCTGATGACTATTACATGAGTAAGATTATATGTACATATTAAATTAAGTCTCTTGTTAATCATTCTAGGATTTGTGTATTAAAACATTCCTTCTTCAGAGAAATGCTGCAGAAAAGTTGCTTTCCTCTTCCCCACCTGCCCCCTCCAAAAATAATGATTATCTTAAATTCTCAGTCCTTGTAGAGAGCTGTATCTCTACAACTTTGTGTTACTGGAATGTATTATATTTTGTTTATTCCCACTTGATGTAAGTTAATAGTTTATGCTAAATTTATGTGAGGACTTAATTTAAAATACATCTAAACCAGAGATTAAAACAGACTTTTGAAAAAAATAGCTGGAAAGATGCTTAGATTTCCTGAAAATTGCAAATAAATTTAAACCAGTGTTCAGTATTAGCATTTTCAGTCTAGCTTAAATGTACGCGTATGTGGAAAAGTGTAAATGATTTTTTGGCTAGTGTTGTTTCTGCTGTTTTCAGGTATCTCAAAGTCCTGACACTCCATGTATATGAAGTCCTCTGTCTCTGTACATGCTTCTTTTCCCCCACCAAAGAAATTGGTGACATAATTCTTAGCAAAGCTTAGCTCTTAAAACAGAGCTCCCAAATGGAGACCAAATTTTTGTAAGAGTATATGCCTCCAACTGCCTAAAAATCATTAATTGATCCGTGTAGTAATAACAGATGGTTAAATGGAAGAAATGTCCTTGAAGTCATTCTAACAGCAGATGTGCCTGTTAGCTTTGTGTTTTTACTCACCTAAAATTCCAAATAATGTAGTAAGAAAGTAACACACACCTCATAATTTTAACATGTTTGTTACCTCCTGTTGTTTTTAGGATTCATCTGAAAACTTAAAAGCAGGACATTGTTTACCGTTTGTTCTGGTAGAACACTTTGTATGTGTGTATGTGCAGGAATATAAAACTATTGAAACTTTTCCCCCCCCTTTTTTTCCAGGGTCCTACAAGATGCGCTGTTGCTGTCAGACAGTAGGCTTCATCTCTTCTTACAGACTCAGCTAAGCCCAGAAGATATGGAGGCTTGTGTCTCTGGACAGACCAAATACACTGTTGCTGATGCAATTCATAAGTTTGCCTCTTTGAACAGACGATTTCCTATAGAAGATGAAGAGGGAAAAAAAGGAAAGAACGACACAGACTCTGATTCAGAGAGGTGATTTCTGCATTTCCTCACTTTTGGAGATTATATATCCATACATACACACGCGCATGCTTCACTTTTTTTGTTGATGTAATACTAAGATAATGAAAAAATTAATTGACTGAGATTTTATTGAGCTGTGACAGCTCATCATAGAAGTCTTCACACACACCTCCACACTGAATTAATGAATGCAGTAGAAATTCAATTATCTGCATTCTGATTATGTGAATTTCATTTAGTCAGACTTGAATTATTCGCGTTTAAATTATCTTGCTAAAAAAATATCCAACTGCACTCCAAATGGCTAATTAAAAGTCCAAATTTCCTGTCTCTCTTTGTGACTGGAGATAATTAAAGTTCTCCTCTGTTACTCAGGCTTTGAGTGTGTTGTGAAAACCAATTTCCTCCTTTTATCCCCCCCCTTTTTTTTTTGTTCTACACCCCCCTCCTCACTCTCTGCTTCTCTGCAGTTCATCCTCCGGGCTCGGACCTAGTGATGACAGCATTTCATGTGGATGTAAAACAAGCCCAGCTTCTGAAGAGTCATGAAAAATAATTCCTGTATTGCTAGCTTAAGGACAGTGCAAAGCAGTTTCTGCTCTGGTTATGTGTACCACGCAAGCACGGGTGGCTGGTAAGGTGTACCTGAAGGAAGCATCGTCTATGCAACCATATGTCCTTATAAAATTTTCAAAACAGACCTCAATAATATTTCTTTGTTGATTCCATTATGTATGTTGATTCAGGTCTACATGCTACCTGTTACATTTAGGGTTTGTTTGGTTTTTTTTTAGGTATTAAAATCTCAGTATTGGGTAAGTCATGCCCTGCTGACGTACATGGCAGTTACAGTATTTCCCTCAGTTCAGTGCATGTCTTCGATCTGAAAAGTAAACTTCATTCCTCATCTTAAAAGTTAGTATAGCATACCAAATATATTCAAAGCATCTTTTTGTAATTTGCATTAGAGAAGTTTCATCTTCAGAAGTCATTTGACATTGGTGATGAAATTACATACCCCACAGGGTATTCACTTTTGAAAGTAGCTCAGCAACATCAGCAAAACAACATTTGTACGAACTATATGCTGCTGGCAATTTGAGAGATAAATATATCTTCCTCTGGTCTTTCTGTAATGTTTATGGAAACCTTGGTTTTATCATGCAGGAGAGCTGAAGGCCAAAATTCTTGAGCATGGTTGCTTAGAAGTTAGAAATATTAATAAAAATGACATCATTTCTAGTCTTGCTGGAGATTCTCAGTTCCCTGGGAATGACAGATACTCACTCCCAGTGAAAGTCCTGGATGAGGCCCATTGAAACTGATGGGTGAATTTTGCTTCGACCTCATTAGAATCAGGATTTCACCCAGCATGAACTTTAGGCACATATATTTGAAAATGCTATGAGAGATGTTTTAGTTTAGCAGCCAAAACACCTCCCTGTCTGAGATGATGATAATCACATAGTTGTAACACGCTGTACGGAAATGCACCTCTCCACTCTTTGGGAGTAAAACAGAGCTGCTGATTTCATTGTGGCTGTAGTTAGCACGTTGGAATATTGACTTTTCCCCCAAACAAAAGGCAGGCTTGAACACAACTTTGTAACCAGCAAGACTTATTTTGATTAAAAGTCAGTTTTGCTCTTTATTGGTAACAGCAGCTGTGTAGTGTCTTGTCCCAGATTCTGTCAAAGGAATATGTTTCACTGTGGTGTTGTATTTATATTTGACATTTAACTGCTATTAAAAAGAGCTAGGGGGTCTGACCAGCCTAGCAAAGCTCCCATTAACTTCAGAGAGAAGGTTACCAGCCTAGGAACAGAGAATTATATATATGTATATTCTAATGTTAAGAATTCTGTGAATATTGTCAAAGAAGGGGCATATTAAACCTGTGAATTATGGAAACAATATAGATTGTTAAATGGCTATCTGATACAAGGTAGCATGGACGTGTGCAGGCATGCTTTTATTAAAGCATCCAGCTGGGAATCTGTGTAATTTTAGAAGCATGTTTTAATAGCCCAAGAATAACATCTCTTAGGTAACTACTTTTAAGCCACTGTATTTTGTTGATGGTTGCACTTTTATGAGATTAATATCCATGTTTCTTTTTGTGGGGTCTTACTGAATAGTACAAATCTATCTATTCACCTCCTCAGCCTGTGAGTTAGCAGCAATGCTATTTTAATGCAAAAGTGATAACATTTAATTAAAGCAACAAGTTATCGCTAAAAGTAGCTTAAAAAAATAGCTGTTATTGCCAGGCAGAGATTTTTGATTGATAGATTTTTGATAATTTTTTTTTATGATGGCACATTACAAGAATAAATGTTTAGCAAATTTATTTGAAAGATGGGGAAAATATAAAAGCAAAACCGAGAATAAGGTCTGAGATATTAATATTTTTTTATTTTATTCAGTATAAAGGGAGTGGGTTTTACTGTTTTGAATGACTTGAGATAAACTGTTGAAGCACTTTACAATTCTGGCCTACTCACATGTGATGAACGTTACAGAAATGCAAGGTTTAGGAGAGCATTTGGGGCTGTATTTTATTTTAGGAGCTTATCTGTATGCCAGTGAAGGTTTTCCAAAAGAAGATGTTTCTGAAACAAACAGTTGTTATCTAATAGCTCTGTTTTTCTTCTGTTATTTTCTTTGTCACCCTGTTCAATAATTCAAAGACCACCGTAACTGTACTTTATTCCCAGCTTTGGCAGAAAATTGTTTAAATACTCGGCTTTTGAATGTTGTTTGTGTAGCTCGTATTACTGGAATTTTTCTCATTAAAGGGGAAGGAAAGTGTTCCATGCTCTCTACTATGTTGTCTTTTTGTATCAGCTGCATGTAACTGCATATAAATGCTGTAAACAAAATGGCTTAATTTGGAATGTTAGATGTAACTGTTACAAATTTAAATTCGTAAAAAATAATAATTTTTAATGTCTTTTGTGACTTCAGTGATTTGGTGATTTTTTTTATTATTTTTTTAATACTGTCACGTATTTTGATCAGTTGGTTACTGGTGTTTTGATTCTTATTTTCCTTAAGTTTTGAATAATGCTGGTATTTCATGCTAGTTTTTCTTTTAAACAGGCTCATATCTAGTTTGTAACATAGTCTATTTACTATTGCTAATTTATATCTAATTGCAATAATTCTGCACTCAAAAGCTTCGCTTTATCTTTTGCTTCTAACTTTATATCCTGTTTTTTATGATGATTTCTTAAAAGCCTTTAAGTAATTAAATAAAACAAGTTACTACCTTGTATTTCACATTCAAACCTGCCACTAAGGTTTCCTTTATTTCAGTATCAGTATATTTATGACTCACTGTAATTACTCTATTTTTGTAATATACATCTATGTGTATATACACTGTTGTGCTTGTGTTTGCTGTCATTGTTCTGTAGAAAATATGAAGAAACGAAGAAATGCGAGGAAGATTGTCTTTTGGAATGAAAATTTTTGTATACATAGAAATGTGCTATTTTTTTAAGCATTTAGAGAATTTATACTCCTAAACGCCCCACTCTACACCACTGCACAATTCTGCAACCACGGGGTTGTTTTTTGGGGGGGGGGGGGGGTTGTGGGGTTTTAGTTTTTATTTTTTGACATGTGAGATACATATTTTTTTCCAGAGCAATATTTAAATTACATAGGCACAGTATTTGTGACTTGATCCGCTGTAAAATTCAAGGTGCAATTAAAGCCCGTGTGTGAGGAGAATAAACCCGCTGTGTCTCTCTGTAACTGCAGGGCTTAATGACCAGGGCGTCCATATTTTTCCTCTCGCTTCTAGCATCTTGCAAAAAACGTAAATTAGTATTTCCAGTATCAGGTTCATTCTTTCCATGGAAGGATTAACCGCCTTAGGAAAGGCACGGTTATTCTCTTCGATGTTAAAAACGCTCTGTACCGTGTTAAAGCTCCTGCAGTAACACTCCCTTAGCCCACGATTCGAGTAACCTTTTAACGCCTTTTTCCTTCGGCCCTAACCCCCGGAGCGCTGGCTGACACACGCGTGTCGGTGCGTGCGGGTACAGCCGCTCCGGCGGGCAGCACGGGGCGGCGAGCGCGTCCCCTCGGCGGGGCACCGCCACCCGCTGCTCCGCGCCTTGCCGACGGGGAGAGCGCGGGTGAGGACTCAGAAAAAGACGGGAGAGGGGAGTGATAAAAAGGGGTGCGGCAAAGCAAGCAGCACCCCGGGTCATGGTCCTCGAGGCGCATCCTCTCCCGGCGCTGCCGCGGAGCGGGGTGAGATCCTTACCTGGGGCCTCCGTGCTCTCCACCCCGCTCCGCCCCACCCGACGCTGCCTCACTCCCCCCGCCTCCCGGCGCTGCGGTGTGTGCGCGCTTGACGGCGGCTGCGTGCGCGCACGCGTAGCCCCGCGCGTGCCCGCGGGGAGGCGGGTTGGGGGCTAGGTGCGGGGGGTCGGCCTTGATCCGGTAACTCCTGGCAACCGCAGCCCATGGCAACGGCGGGTGCGGGGGGGAGGGAGGGGGCGGAAAGCTCCTGCCCGCTTCAACCCGGGGCGGGGGAACAGCGCACACACCGGCTCAGCGACCCCCCCCCATCCCCTTTCCCGCCGCCGCCTGGTCTCCTTCCCGGGCCCCTCCCGCGCAAGCTGCGCCTCCGCCCCGTGCGTCCGCCGCCAGGGGGCGCTGTTTGTCAGCGAGAAGCGCGCAGCCGGGCGGGGCGCAGCGCAGCTCAGTGCGTGGCCGCGGGTGCGCAGGGGCTCGAAAACGTCCTGACGGTTGTCGGTTTCGCTGCTCCTCCCGCGCCGGAGCCGCGCTCCCCAAGCTTAAATCACGTTTTTATATCTGTTTTTATTATTATATTGTTTAAATAGTTTTGATACAAAAGCAGTTAGGGCCCAGCGCAAAGCCAAGGCGAGGCCTTTCTGTGGAACAACGGGAGCTAAAAGGCCTTGTGTCACCCAGTTATGTAAGGCAATCTCGCCTGAAAATGCACAGTGAATCGGGAAGGATTTATGTAATTAATTGACCAGTCTTAACCTGTTATCGTGATGTAAGGAATTTGGAACTCATTAATTTGGGCCCTGACAGATTTCATATTAGAGCTGGCAAATATGGATTGAGCCTCTTATTCTTGTAGCAGCTGGAATTTCCATGACAGTGAGGATTAGTGAAGAAGACCTATTGCTCGAGTCAAACTGCCTCTTTTGTAATCAGCAGCCCTGCTCTGCATTAAAGGGGTAATGGGAAAAAGGGAAAAAAAATAAATACCACAAGAAAAAAAAAAGAGAAATGTATTCATGTAAGGAGCAGAGCAGGGGAGGGAAAGGAAGGACATATCCTGGAGAGCAGAGGGACCAGAGCGGGGCTTTCCCAGCCCCATGGCCATGAAAACACCACAAAGGCAGCTCTGGTGTGGTGAAAGAGGAAGATGCCTGAAGGAGAGGTCCACAGCACCCACATGGGGCTCCCTGCATCTTTGTCAAACCTTCAGCTGGAGCCTCCTGGGAGCCGCCCAGGACCTGGGGTTGTGCCATTATCGGTTCTAGGAGTGGGTTCTGGCCTGCCAAAAGCCAGAGGGATTTAGGGATATAGGGATTTGGGTTGTGATCTTGGGAAGTGTGGACTGAGAGATACATGTCTTCCCGCCTGCACAGTGATTCCTTCCCTGATGGGGAAAAGGATGCTCAGGGTGGGTAAGGACCAGATCTGAGGATGAGGACAGGTCGCCATGCAGCCATGGCAAGGGTGACTCTGCACATGACATGCCTCAACTTCCCATGTACAAAGACAAGGGTAATAGAACTCCCTTTGTTTGCTGGTTCAGGACAACTTTTCAGTATGTTTTTTCACAGGGCCCAGCTGGGGAGGGCCTTCATCCCATTATCATTTCTAGGCATTGATATGATAGTAATAACATTGAATACAGACTATGGAAACAGAAGCTTTTATTTTCTCTCCTGGCAACCTGTTAATGACTACTGTGATAGTGAATAGTTGTTAGAAATTACTTTTAAAAGGTTTCCATCGTCATATTTCTCCCTGCAAAGTGTTTACCTACTCTATGACAAATGCTGTACATAGATGGAGGGGTGTTTTCCCTCTTATCATCATTTCTTTGCTGTGTGCTTTTTGGTAGTTGAACATTCCCCCTCCATGATTGCTTCGATGCACCATTTGCTCCTGTGGGTTATTTCTATATAATAACCGGGAGAAGGGAAGAGGTGTAAACCAGGGATATTGACAGTAAATCCATGATCGTTTGCAAAGACTGTAATGGCAAATGCAGATTAGATATAAACAGCAGCAAGTAACGCCTTCAGCATGGCTCAGATCCTCTGGACAGCTTTGTCCCTCTGCATATTTGCTTTGTCTCCCATCATTATGATGGGATGATTATGTAAATTCTGGTACCAAAACTCGAGCATTCAGCCCCAGATTTGGGAATCTCTATGAGGCTGAGTGCTTGGTGCTGGAGACATGCCCTTACCAAATTCAAACTCCTTGGAGAGGGGCTACCATGTCTTAGCTGGGGGGCTAGATCTAGCTCAGTGGTACCTTTTACACTGCTGTCATAGTTGTGAGCTAATAATCCGGATCATGGCTTTAATCTCCTTGATTTAAAACAAAAACCCAACCCAGACCAATAGATTACCATTTGATTGCGCACCGTCAATGAATATCTTTTGTCTTACTGTCTCCTGATAAATTAAAAAATCTTCACACATGTCAGCTAGCTCAGATTTCCCCCAAAGGCAGGGAATAATTTATCTTTTATGGTAGTACACAGACTCAGCCATTGTCTCACCGAATCTATCTTTGCTTCTTTTAACCATCAGGAGTGGCAAGCCACTCAGGTACTACTGCAGCTATAGGTTTTCCTCTTGTCAGAATGTAGATCAGGCGCAGCTCATTTCCCTGTTAAGAGTGCCAGCACGTGCCTGAGCTTAGAATTGTTTCAAACAACAAAACAAAGCATTTTGAAGTTTAAATGATGTTGTAATTTGTAAGTATCTGGACTTTCTCTGATTCTTTTCCATGGATATATTTAAAATACACTCGAGGGGCAGAACTTCCCTGTGACACCCATGATTTCGGGTGCTTGCAAAATTAAAGTCAGTTATTATTACTGATAGTGTCTTCCCCCCGTTCCTTATTTTCCTTGTAGGTAAGAAAACAGAAAGAAATCAGCTGAGATGGGTGTTTTGTCACATTCTTATTCCATTTTTATTCTTTGACAGTTAATCAGAAAGCAAAAACACAATATAGAAAACTGAGAAAATAGAAAGAAACAAAGTTAAACTTTCTGACCAAAAGTATATTTGTTTCAGACATTTCGTGACTTACACCAATACCGAAGGTGTGTTTTAGTTTATGTGCAAATACTAACTGCAAATTTCACAGTAGAAATGGTTAAGATACATCAAGCTCTGGTTCAGTTGAAGTCAATGGAAAAAAACTTTGTGCTGCTTATTCTGGAGGTGAAAAAATTCTGTCTGCCGCATGGCACTCAGATTAAAAATGACATTCTTGTTTGAACCAATAGGTGGCCTTTTTGAATGTGCTATAGTTAATTTTTTCCTGAAACCAAGAAAATGTCTTGAAGTAGAGAACATTTTCAAACAGCAACTTTCAAATGCAGTGAAAATGTATTTTTTTATTCTGTTTTTAATGTATTCTGCTTATTTCCCAGTATTCTAGAAATTTCTGTTAAATCCTGAGTCTTCAATGCATGATAATGATCAATAACAGCAATGGTAAAGTGAACTGCAAAGCCTGTCCTTCTGGTTTCGTATGTTCATGCTCTCAAAATGCCATATATTCCCAGTTTCTTAGACCTCCCATAGGTTCTTTTATCCTGTTATTTACATAGGTAATTAAAACAGTTTTAAAAGAACAGTATTTCCTTGTGCTTCAGAAAAGGAGCACTTGTGACTTTTCAAAGTCACACCTCTGAGCTGAGCTTCAGGAATCTTGA